CCATCATCATCACCATCATCATCACCATCACTACCATCATCATCATCACCATCACCATCACTACCATCACTACCATCATCATCATCATCACTAGCATCACTACCATCATCACCATCACTACCATCATCATCACCACCATCACTACCATCATCATCATCATCACCACCATCACCATCACTACCATCATCATCATCACTACCATCATCATCATCACCATCACCATCATCATCACCATCACTACCATCATCATCATCACCATCACCACCATCACTACCATCATCATCACCACCACCATCACCATCACTACCATCATCATCATCACCATCACTACCATCATCATCATCACCATCATCATCACCATCACTACCATCATCATCATCACCATCACCATCACTACCATCACTACCATCATCATCATCATCACTAGCATCACTACCATCATCACCATCACTACCATCATCATCACCACCATCACTACCATCATCATCATCATCATCACCATCACTACCACTACCATCATCACCATCATCACCACCATCACCATCATCACTACCATCACTACCATCATCATCACCATCACTACCATCATCATCACCACCATCACTACCATCATCATCATCACCACCATCACCATCATCACCATCACTACCATCATCACCATCACCATCATCATCATCACCATCACCACCATCACTACCATCATCATCACCATCACTACCATCACATCATCATCATCATCACCATCATCACTAGCATCACTACCATCATCACCATCACTACCATCATCATCATCATCATCACCATCACTACCATCATCATCACCATCACTACCACTACCATCACTACCATCATCATCATCACCATCACTACCATCACCATCATCACTACCATCACTACCATCATCACCACCATCACCATCACTACCATCACTACCATCATCATCATCACCATCACTACCATCACCATCATCATCACCATCACTACCATCATCATCACTACCATCATCATCACCACCACCACCATCACCACCATCACCACCATCATCACCATCACCACCATCATCATCATCATCACTATCACTACCATCATCACCATCACCATCATCATCATCACCACCATCACCATCACTACCATCATCATCATCACCATCA